CAATAATTCGAGTTCAGAGTAATTATTAAACGTCAATGTCTATGACAGATGAGCGTTATCCTTTAAACGGAGAAATTGGATTTGATAATTAACACAAAATGTGCTTTCTTGACAGACAAAAAGGTGCTTCCGTGACCATAAACAATGGCGATCTAAAAAGAGGCATCGTGCGTGCAGCAACACCAGACTGCAGGGTCTGGAGAGGCCCACTTCCAGGAGTGGATTGGAAAAATAGGCCTTACATCGTGATGTCATGTGACATGCAAGGCATGATGGGAGGACTGAGCTTTGATCAAAATACATTAGTCAATAACACTGCCACACACATTCCTGCGGAGGGAGCTGGTAGGAACGTTTGGTTGCTCGGTCAATGGCCAGGGTCAACGGCGGCGTGGTGTATTCTGCAAATATGGCCGACTGTGAGGGCGAGCACAAGCCGGCGTGAGTAGGTTAAACGTTGAGTTTTATAAGGGCACCACGGGGTGACCAGCCCCTTCCCACCCAGCCCCACCACTCCCACCCTCCCCTCCCCACCCAGCCCCTCCCCACCCAGCCCCTCCCCTCCCTACCCAGCCCCTCCCCACCCTCCCCACCCAGCCCGACCACTCCCATTTTTAGATACACGACGGACGGACACAATAATCCCCTGTGGGCTGGTGGAACCAGGTGGTTCCTACCAGTAAAAGATATATTAAATAGGTGATGTTAGGGCAATTACCCTTTTTCATAGCACATGACTGTATGTGCTTGAAGGGCGATGGCCGGAATTATCAGCTTTTTTTTCTTCTTTTAAGGCCAAAGTGTTTTTTTATGAAAAAGTTGAACTGTTTTGTTAATTGTGCTTGTGCACCAATGCCAACACAGTGTCGCCAAATAATTTGCTTCATTGTCACAACAATTTCCCATTTGCCATGTCTGGAAATAATCGTGTGTGTGTGTTTTATTAGCATTACTGAGTTACTGGTCATTTACGGAAAGAGTCAAAATTGATTTGTTCACTCCAAGCAACTCTTCAACCAGCTGAATTCAACTGCATGCTTTTCATTTACACTCACTATTGTGCAATGTGTTCATATACGTATTTAACTTACATTAACACAGTATAAAATACATCAAAGTTGACATTCCTAATATATAATGGATATATACAGACAATGGAAAAAACTGTGCAAGGACGACTTTCTGATGAAAGATAAAGAGAACAAATCAAGTCCAAGCTTGCTGATGAAAAATATTGATCTTGAATACCAATCATCTGAAAATATTTCACACTAAAATTTCCAATTTCTTTTACATCTAAATCATGTAGAAATGCTGATATGGCACCACATGCTGTGTACATATGCAGGTTTGGATTATTAACAATTTTCAAAAACAAATAAAAGGTAATGGGTATAATGATAACCCATAAAATTATATACAGTACTACAAACTTAAGTCTCACTGGCAAAAAACTCTAAACACAATGGGTAATGTTTTCTGAGGTAAACTCTGACATCACCATGTGTGTGGAATGCAGCAATTAATTTAAATCATTTAACTAGGTTCGGGCCCGAAAAAATGTACACTTTTTTTCAAGGGAAGACCTTTATAATTGCATTTATATACGAGGGGATACATTAACTTATTCATGATGTAGGTGTATGGACATCGCGGACACCATTTGGATGTGGGTGAGCGCTGACTGACAGTGCTGGATGGCACCACGCTCTTCGTGCAGTGCCAGCCCCTACAGGATAGGGTGTGGGAGTGCCGGCCATGGGGTTACACTAAGGGCCATGGCACTCTGGTTGACCCGAGAGGACACGTGACCGGTAAAGTCTACACAGGGCCCCCCAAGTGGGGGCTTGGGGTGGTCACGTGTCCGGGTCGAGATGCTGCTCGAGGATTCTAGGTGGTCGTGGCTAAGGACGGAGCCAGCCACGCCACAGAGGATATAAGCCGGGTCCCACAGAGGGACCGGCTGCTGTTGCTCATCCTGAAGAAATCTATGTTCTACGTCCTACAGAGTCTCCAACACGTGGACCTGGACCCAACCTGTGGTCCGGTCCGTTGTAGCTCGTTACGGTGCAATTAGTGTAGTTAGCCTGGTGGTCACCACCATAGGTTGTTATCCTGTGGAGGGGAAGTTACCCCGTGTGTTGATGTTAATAAATGTGTTGCCTCCAAAGAGTACGTCTGCGACTCAGTTCAACTCGCTACATAGGTATGCGCTATTTTAAAATGTTGTCTGTGAAACCTGCACACACTGGCTTAGGTCTGGGGAATTCCCTGGCAGGATCGTTAATGTTTACTGACAGTAATCAAGGCATCTTGGTAATTCACCATCTAAATTCATCATCTAATGCATCATCTAAAGAATAACAGTTTGTATTTTGAAGCACAACACTACACAAATAGTTCTCAGAAATATTTTGTATTATGACCAACAGATAATGGTGTCAGTGATTTGGATTCAAATTGGCCATGTTGTAATAAATAGTTATACAGTATGCAGAATGTTTCAGTCCTTGGTCCATCTGCTATTAAATCAAGGCCTCCTCCATATTGTGTCGGTGATGGGTTTGTTTAACCATACTTCGCCGCACTGGTCAGGGAGGGTTGGTGAAAAGGGAATGACCCGTGAAATGGTTCAGAGATCACACACTATTAATGTTAGCTGCAGAGAAGAATCTAACTCAAGTCACTGGATTCATCATGCAGGGAAATTAACCGCTGAAACACTCATTTCAGAATCATAATAGAGTAAAACCGTGGATTGCGAGCATAATTCGTTCGGGAAACGTGTTTGTAATCCAAAGCACTCGTATATCAGTTGTGATCATGTGACGCTCGGCAGACAAAATGTATACGTACTACTCATATTGCAAGACCTCGCTCGTTTATCAAATCAATATTTATTTTTAAAATTTGCTCGTCTTGCAAAACACTCGCAGACCAAGTTACTCGCAATCCAAGGTATTACTGTATTAATTTATACTGGAGGAATCCGAAGAGCTATAAAGCTCTTTTTTTACAGATGTCCATTAGGGGTAAGTCAGAACGTGGCAACAAACAGTACAAAACACGAGCGGAGTGTACAGTATAGGAGAGGTAAGCACGTTACTTATAAAATATTAAAATTAAACGAAACTATGTTTATCTTACTGGGTAAAGCCCACTGAGTTATTAGATTGTTTTTCAGAATCCATCTGGCCACAAGTTATACAAGTGGCATATCATGTGGAAATTTATAGTAGCAAAATAATCTAAATATTCTCAAGGCATGTTTCTAAGTATGGAGAGAAAAACCGCAGTACCTGGAGAAAAATACACACTGTCCGTGTGGTAAGAAATACGATGAAACATGTTGTCAAATAGTTCCTGTTTGCCAAGCAGTCTGCATTTGAAATGCACGTGTTAAGAAATTGCATTTCACATTGGCAGAGTTCGTGATTTGTACACCACATTGGAGAGCGGTATACTTGGCAGAAGATAAAAATGGACAATAACGCAAGAGAGGACACTGTACACGAAGGGTTTGAAAAAAAAAAGAGACAAGAGCTGCACTCATTACACACAAAGTGCTTGCCACAAATGAGCCACAATACCTTGATGATCTCGTCAAGGAGCATAAACCATCATCACGTAAACTCTGGTCATCCCCGCAGAGGCTTTTGGCTGGCCATCGAAAAAAATAAACTATCACTGCACCGCACGCTTTCAGATGCGCTTCTGCGGCCAACTGGAATGCTCTTCCTTCCGATATTAAGAAGCCACTGGAGCTATGCACTGTTATATCTAGATTTAAAACTCATTTCTTTAGAAGTGCTTTTTGTGTTTAGTTTGTCGTTCAAGCACACCTCGATTAGCATGGTTAGCTACGTTACGGTACGAAAGAAGTTCAACATTCATACCTATATGCACAAAAAGGAGAGGTGCGAAGAGAATGTTCCCTTTTTCAAGTATGATCATAGCTTCTAAACAAAGCAGCTGTTTGAACATGTTTTTTAAATATAAAATTGGCGAGGGCTTTCAGCGAGTAAACTTTCGGCCCTCACCACATACCATTACCCCATGTTTGTGAAATCCACCTCCCCGACACATCGCGAACAACATTCTACACCGTACCGGTAATGCAAAGAGTACGAGCATTACTGAGCAACACACATTGGCATGCCGGATGGCTTGCAACACTGCCATTAAAAAAACTGACAAGCGAATATTGAGAAAATGTGCTGTGCTATTTATTTTGTAGCTGCAGTTTATCAACTGTGTTGAAGAAAATTCTCACGTGGTATGAAACATAACACATTTTCTGTGATGGAATATGAAATTTTAGAAGACATTCTAAAGGCAGCCACATGTACCTGCTCAAAAACAATGTCCAAAATGCCAAAATGTTGTCCAAATTTATTTTTTTGTGTAAATCACTTCTCCCATACAAGTATGCTCTTTACAACTTGCTGACAGGTTTGATTTTCAGCAATTATTTTACAATCTGCAGGTTCAAATACTCAAAACTATACAACTTATTTTTTTTTTACACTCGGGTAGCTGGATACAAGGATAGAATTCAAAGTCAAATATATTTTCAGGTACTTTCTCCAGTCGATATCCTATATTTCTCCCATTGGGCTAGGTACTCGGTGTTCTAAAAATATATTAGCATATAAACGTTACTTGAGAATTCATTTTTAATTCCCCCTGTATTGGAGGTACAAGAACACACTGTTTTATTGCTGAGCAATGAGCCAGTTTTTCACACTGGAGTGCATGTAAATGCTTTTTACCAACAATTCCCCAAGTACACCAATGAACCACACATAAAAAATATACATCATGCATTGATGATAAAAAAAACTAATTGCACTATAAAAAAAATACTCACATTCATCAATAATAATAATAATGTCTTAAAGGAACATACATATAATAGGTGATGTTACGGGCAACTGCCCTTGTTCACAGCAAATGTAAAAAAACAGGATGTCTACTGCCTTCGTATCCATGAAACGTACCTGGACTGTATGGCAAGGTAGATGGTGCGACGAAAAGAAACCAGGTTTGTTTCTGTTTGGTCCAAAATTGTCATCTTTTGTTTCTCTGCAAGCGGAAAGGCAAGGTTGGTATTTCACTTCAGGCATCATGGACACACAGTATAAACCAATTTTTTTTTTATCAACATTTGTTTATCATAAGACGTTTTTGGGTTAGAGCGTGTGAATATTAATGTGTCGTTAAACCTGCCACCACCCGGCACAGCTAAATTAGTAAGGTTTGTCAATTAAACAGAACGTGCCAATTCGTTACTAGTTCAGCACACCGGTGTGTTGGAGAGTAAACCCACAACATCTACAATTAGAGTAACGAATTGGCACGTTCTATTTACATGACAAACCTCACTAATTGGCTGTGTCGGGTGGTGGCGTGTTTAACGACACATTTATATTGACGCGATCTAACCCACAAACCTCTATCATGGATAATATTGGTCGCGAAAGCCTAAGTGTTAAACATTTGTTAAGAAAAGATACACGCTTCTTGCGATTTCAAAGACAGGTGCTCAAATCAAGTCGAAGTCCTTCTGTGCTCATATGAGCACCGAGGCAAAATTGCACATACCTATGGCAGGGATGAATATATCTATAACATATCCACTATTAACTTCCCCACAAAGTGGTACTCAACCCGCAATCAAGGTTTGAACTCGCAACCTTCCGAGCCACCTGGCCGGATTCCCAGGTTGCTCTCAGCAGCAGTGGTAATTTGCAAGGTCGGTTACAATCAAACAAGGCAACTGGCTGCTGTGAGTGCAGGTGTCTTGTTCACTCACCTGCTTCCTCTTCATCCTCTTCTTCATCGTCGCTGTCACTACCTTCCCCCTCCCCGCTCTCGCCTTCCCCGCTGCTGCCTTCATCCAATATTTCTGTGGAGTGATTAAATGAAGCGAGTACATTACAGTATGTGCACATCGTCTAAAGCAGTTGTTTCTCAAACTTGTTTGGGCCGCGGACCGCTCAGCCGATGCAAACATTTCCACGGACCACATGAACCAGAGCCACCCCTGGTGACAAAACGCATTCACTTCTCTCTCTAAACGCCAGTAATGCAAAATGATTAATATTACCGGAATATAACAAAAAAACGTAGAGTTTTTTTATGGTTGGCATTTAGATCATACTAGCGGGAAGTACCCGGCATTGCCCGGGGGAAAAATATATTTCAAAACTTCTCTTAAAAACATAACATATACATACACAAATACGAAGCTATTGTGAAAGCCTGGCGTGCCATTTTTCTGTCCATTTGTCCATCAACAAAATTAGAAGAGGCTTGCAGAAGTCCAAAAAGTTATAAAATGGGGGGTAAATAGTTGATCTAAAAAGGTTTTCGAAAAATGTCGACCCCCTCAAAACATATTTTTACCCCCGCATAGGCATATATACATACACACCCTATATACAAGAGAGTGAGTAGTATCTACTGACTCTATAGTAGTAACTAACTCTTTAGTAGTAACTTCTGACTCAATAGCAGTATCTGCTGACTCTATAATCATATCTACTGACTCTGCAGCAGTATAACGACTATAGTGGTATCTACAGACTGTAGCATTATATACCGACTCTAGCATTATATAGCGACTCTATAGTAGTATCTACTGACTATAGTCGTAACTACTAATTCTTTAGTATTTGCTGACTCTATAGCAGTATCTGCTTACTCTAAAGCAGTATATGCTTACTCTACAGTAGCAGCTACAGACTCTGCAGTAGCAGCTACCGACTCTGCAGTAGTATCTACCTACTCTGCAGTAGTATCTACCTACTCTACAGTAGTATCTACCTACTCTATAGCCGTATCTACCTACTCTATAGCCGTATCTACCGACTCTATAATAGTATCTATCGACTCTATAGCAGTTAAGTACTAACTTAACAGAGTGCCGTGGTGAGGCCTAGTCCCGTACAGAGCCCCCGGCCTCGCCTAGCTTGCCCAGCTGGCCGAGGTGGCGCCTTGGCCGGCTGGGGCTAGGTCGCTACCCCCCCCCCCCACCAAGATAGTTAAGGGTCGTTTAATCAGGGTAGTTTACCTAACTTCATTTTTTTTATGAAATACCATGATTAAAATATGAACTAATGTGCAAAACAAAAGGTATAAACGTCATGAATTTCAGATCAACCTGCATTTGCATCACACCCCCGCAGACCACCGGTAGTCCCGGGGGACAACACTTTGAGAACCACTGGGTTAAATTAGCCACACAGCAACAATTGTAGTGGTGACATGGCCCAACAGTCGTGTGGGTGTATTAGTCATGAAATAGAAACCATCGGCTTCACAGCAGGCGTTAAAGAACCCATGATGTTCTTCGCAAGAGTAGGCCCCATTCCAAATTTGGCAAATTAGAAAAATAGCCGGCAAAATAAAACAATGAGAATTATACAAAGCAATTATCGCCCTAAATTAGAAGACTGCAAAGCTTGGCCAATTGTTGGCGCCGGTTCTGGCTGCCAACAGGCCAAACTGTGGTTTACCGTGCGCAGCACTGTGGAATGCAATTTTTGTGCAGAACGCGAATTAAAATAACAATACGGAATCACCAAATCGCAAAAGGTGCAATTAACATCCACACTCAATGGAGAAAACCAATCTCTTAATAAAAAAAAGGTTCATGGGATTTAGAAAAAATAAACCGGTCAATTAAGGTGATTAAAAATAGAAAGTTAAAATATATATCAATAGAATTAATTCTGTATAAATAGCGAATTATACCAGTTTGTTTTTACGACAAAGACAATTATTTAGGAATGCTTTCAATCTTGTAATAATATCGAATATATGAAAACCCAAGTGCATTCAATAAACACTGGAGGTCGCATGTCTCCAAACACATGAAAGTAAATATGTAGGGCGAAAAGATGGAAAAACTTCAGAGGATTGCATTACCTTTCTTGATGGTTTTGTATTTTTCTTCATTGTTCAAAAAATCTGGATCCAGCTTGAAAATATCTGCAATGACACCAATATGCAAAAAAGCAAGTTAAGGTCAAAGTCATAATTATTCATCTGAAAACTCTCGGGTATATGTCATACAAGATTAATTGACTCACCTTCCAAACAAGCCTAAAATTAACCAAATAAGTGGCAAGTGATGACCAAACAAATTAGGAAGAATATTATAGTTGGGTGGAAACTAATTACATTTTAACTGGAAGAGAAAAATACTTTTTTTTTATTCAGTCATCTCCATACCAATTTTGTACCAAAACTCACACAAATAATACAAGATCACAAATAAGTGCCACAATGATCAAGGTCAGCATATTGCCACATACTGTATCAAAACACGATATTCCATAGCAAGTTGTTTTACATGCACACATCACTTCAGGCTAGAGCTCTGTGTACACCTGAAGCAAGGAATACCTTAAAAATCAGTTAATTGTACCTAATTTCCATAATTACCTTCTAAGGGACTCTCAAAAGCCATCATTTTCATAATTAGCCTTATTGGAATACAATTAAAGTCATTAAAACTGAAATTATTTCCCCGCTTGATGTTCTTATAATGAAATTCTGTGGTATGCAATCAACACTTTAAATCAGTCCAGCGAAAAATGTCTTTAAACTCAAGTTAAATTAAAATACTGCAACACGTGCAGTCAGAATACGTTAAGAAACAATCTTTATTTTAAACCAAGATAATGAATTTTTTTGTTACCTAATGACTATAGCAATTGGGCAATGCCAAATCTGCCTACAGCAGCAATAGTGAAAACACGTCTTGTTACTTTTGAGTGAATCGTGGCTTTCTTTGATTTTACACACTTTGTCTTTTTAAATCCTTTATATTAAGTTTGCTTGCTTGCGTGCTTGCTTGCTTAGGACCGTGCAAATCTTTCGGTCGTTTTTTAACCCACTTCCCGTGATCCAATCGAGCTGACATTTTCCACACAGACTCGTTGTGCCAGACAATTAATGTTCGTGAAAAAAAATTCCCAAAATTTTACACGTTTTAGGCAAAAAAAATATTTTACATATATTCAAATAGAACTCATTCTTGGCTTTGGCTGAACGTCACAGTATAAGAGCCCAGAGCGTAACCCCTCCACAGGCCGTGGCGGAGTAGCGCAGTTGGTAGCGCCCTCGCTTCCCAAGCCAAAGGTCGCGGGATCGATCCCCGCGTCCTCCACAGGCGAATATATTTTTAAATCCTTTATATTAAGTTCGCTGCCACGCATATAAAGGATTTATAGTGAAAAACTTTGTTTTTACGGGTTATACTTATTCTAAAGCCTGGTTTCGCTTTTCATGAACGATGATGTCGGTGTGCATAAAACAGATACACCCAAGTCAAACAAGCATCTCGCCTAGTTAAAACAAAGGAAGTTTCTGATCCCCGATTGTAAATATTCCTGATCAACCGTCTCCTTCCATAGGTCAAAAGGATGTGGGCGGCTTGACAAAGCTGTATCCAGGATGATTACTCCATGCAAGATCTAAGCTCTAGTGCTAAACATGGTTGGCCTTATGACGAAGAACACTTTAGGACCTACATACAACACTAGAGAATAAACCAAATCAGCATAAATGTACTTTATGTCATATCTTGCAAATTACGCAGAGTTGAGGCTGTTAATTGTTAGATGGAAGGACTGTGAATGAAAGATGAAAAAAACACCACTGAAACCACTGTCAATCACAAATCAATTGTGGAACACAATGCATTGCGAGAGCAGTTACCGTAGAGTAACTAAGCCTCCCTGACGTCTGCCATTTCTGTGCAGCGTGGAGATACCGATAACAACAAGGCAGCATTGCTTTGCATGCGGTTCAGTTTTTAATCTTTGGAACCACGATTTTAGATTTCCAAATAGCTTTTCATTTTTTTTAAGGGATCCTGAAAGAAAAAAAACTCGTTATACACGACACATGGGATATCTGCCCATATTACTCCGAGGGACAAGCTGCGACGCTTCCTGGCGCTTTTGCAAAAGGGGCCACCAAACCTCCCACCCACGGACAAGTGCTCACTTAAAAGGTCTTCGGAGTTGTAGTCATCCTCCAGCGGCAGCATGTGCGTGAACTGGTCATCCTCTTCCACAAGGTCCAGGCCTTCAGGGATCACTGGGTGGTCCTTGAAGCCATCCTTGCGGATGGCGAACATCACCTCAATCATGTACTGCACGCGCTTGTCGATCTGGGACTCGTGCAGAATGTTCCGCAGCCTCTCAAAGATTGCTGCAGAGCGAGAAGTACGACAGATATTATTAACAGGGGTCTGTGACGGCGATGTACGCGTGCAGGCTCCCATGATGCAACCATGCAATTTGTTAATACTGCAGGTAAAGGCATGGAAAAATAGTTCACATGTGTGGAGGTGTAGAGATGCCATATTTAAATGTAGTCTATTTTTTTCAGTGAATGATGGAAACAAAATGGTGTAGACACCCACGTATTTTCACATCCTAAACAAACAAGGAATTGTCTCAATTTACATCCATCTCTCAAGTCATGCTACAATTTGAAGAAAACATGCAGAAGCTTTGACAATGTAGAGATGTGTCCAGGGTGCGGCAAGGCAGAAACCATGGCAATTGCAGGACCATGCTATGTATGTTGTGGTTTGTCGTGTGCAGGGCATAGATGGCCTCGACATTGACCCTTGGGGTCAATATCAACGGACCTCGTGCCAATTGACTTGTTTCTGTGGGGCATACTACAGTGACTTTGGCTGTAACAGTTCCTCCTGAAGACGGAAGCTTGTGTTGCCTCCGAAACGTCGCGATTTAATTTAGTTGTTTTCATTTATTTTATTTTATTTTTTACCTACGTGACTTAACCGAAAAAAGCAAAAGGTATGAATCCTTGCAGTCACGAAGGCTTCAAATCTAGAATCATTTTAAGTAGGTCGTCCACACGACTACAAAACAAATAAATATTAATATACCAAGTTCGGTGCGTTAATACAATGCAATTCACATTCATATGACGTTTAAAATGCAACCGCATCTCCGGACAATTAATAGGAAAATAAATGAGTCTTAAAGCTTGACCTGCCTGTCCGAGGGCACCGTCTAATATCTAAGATCACTGTAATACACCATGAGGAATGTTCCAGCATCCTGTGTGAAACGGACTGAAACGTGTCCAAGCACATGGCGCACGGTTCAAGCATCTGCTCTAATTTACCGTACAGATGGCACCGCGACTATTGCCGCGCCCTGCACAATATACCGCAACATTAATTTAATGCATTTCAAAACAGGTTAATTGTACTGTGTTCCTTCACAATTAGTACGTGGAGAATTTTTTTACATACGAGCCATTCAAAAATAAAAGATGAAGAAGTACGCGCTAAGAGCTTATAAAATGTCCAATGACCATCAAAATGAAGGTACAATAGCACTCCCTAGTGGAGTATGTCTAAAACTGAAAGATTTAATTAAATGGTGTGTATTAAAGAGAATGTCAATTAAAGCAATTTGTCACATACAGGGGGCTTACTACATGCTTGTGTTGTGAGCTTTTACAAATTACCCCAAGCAGAAATGCGAAAAGGTAAAAGCATGCATACACGCATGACATTTGAAGAATTACCTTTTCACATGATTCTGCTGTTTAAAATATTAGAAATGCCAGGAGAGTGAGGGGTGTGCTTGGTGTTTGGCATTGTATATTGAATCATCCGATATTGGATCCGCAACATATGAAATTAGGCCCATTAATTCTTAATTTCACACAATACAAAAATCAATACATTGCAATAGTTAGTTGGCTTTGCACCGAATTTCAGCCGAGCGAGCCAAAAAATAAATTTCCTACAACGCTTTTGCGTAAAACAGTCGATGTACATCGTGAAATAAGTTCGTTACCAACTATTTAAATAAGTAATTAAAACTGAAGTACTGGCAAGGGGCATTTTTGTGGCGCCAGTATAATGAATCAACCCAATACAATTTCCCAACATTAATTAAATTTAGTTTATTCCTGGTACTCGAGCAGCACCGGATGGATGCCTTGTTGGTGCCACAGTGTGTGTGCGTACTGACCGTTGATTCCCCGTGGTGAGACCTCTGTGAGCTTGAGACCACACTCCTTGAGGAAGCCAACAGCCACCTCCACGCTGTCATCCGTCGGCCGCTCCAGCAGCAGAGTGAGAATCTCCAGGGACAGCACTTCGTGCGCCTGTGGAACGAGAGCACGCACGCATGCAGTCACTCATGGGCATCACGATGCCAATTAGCAGCAGAAACATGGGAATTAGTGTGACGTTAACAGAGAAGGGTACGAGTTAGCGCTGCGGACAATTTGTGCCTAATGCAGATCGCTTAGGTTCTTCTTGTATTTATTCTCACTGATTATTTTATTATGTTTTATTTGTATTATTTCCCTTCTACTGACTTTAGCGAAAGAACCAAGAATATGAATCCCTGCAGGCACGAAAGCTTTAAATCGAAAGTTTGAAAAATGTTTGCTTTTTTTGATGTGGTGATATTATAACTGGCAACTCCTAATAAATTTTAACGTTGACGAGCACTCCCTGTGCATTTGAGCTGGACACACGGCCAGAGTGGAGCTTGACGTCGGTGTGACGTGCAAAACGGCTCAACGCTGTGGGACGCGGGTGACGTCATCGCACAGATCGGAACACGGAGACTTGCCCGCCCATGCGCCAGCCAGCCAGCAATTCAGAAAGGTGGCAAAACTTTTTTTCTAGTATAGTATGAAATATGTAGCGGCAGTGTATACAGTTATCATTGTAATATTAGCAGCGGGTACAATACATATGTTGACATTTAATTATAGTTTCATATAAGTTTACATTTCAAAAGTCGGAATAAAAAAGTGAATGAGTACGCATGTGCATTAAATTAAATTTTTATTACTAAATGAACCTCCTGTTCAATTGTTATCTTATATTGTATTCATAACCATTCCATACCTTATTAAAAAATTGAAACAGAGAACTATTTATATCAAATATCTAAAATTCAGCTAGCCAAAGCGCTTATTTATTATGGGGGTGTTTTTATTAGATAATACAATTGCGCTTCATTGCCATTAAAACTACTACACCAGGTAATATTTCAACAGTGCAACTCATGCAAATGTTCAAACCTAAAACAATCGTTGTTTAAACATTGATGTGATGGTGTAATGTTTTTAAAGCATGCTGCTCTGAATCATGAGGTTCGCAATAAAATGCTCACCTTAAAATTAATTTTAACAATACCCATCCCTTATGCTCTCAATAACAGATTGGGTGCATCTAATGTAATAAGTCAATATTGAATTAAAAATAACAAAGTACATACCACATTCTGGTTCACAAGGTGAGCAATGTACTTGCTTGTGGACAGGCAGAGTGGCTGCAAAAATAAGCAGAAACAGCCAGTTAGTGGAGAATATATTTCATTTCACTCTCCATCATAAATTAGTATGACCTTCATACCCATGTATTATACAGCATTGGCAAAATTCATAGTGCTAGAAGATTCCAGTAAAACAATGTATTATTCAATACCGTACAAAACCATGATTCATTTACCATAGTGCACATTATACAAATGAAACGAACCACAGCAGAGGTTTATGTAAATATCACAATGGCTATTCTGCCAGACTAACAAAAATGATAAAAGTAAATGGTTAAGAGTGAAAACAACCTTGTTTACCAAGGTCAAGGAAAGATGACTACAGAAATTTGGACACGTTCCGAGACTGGGCTGAAAACCACACTTGGTGAAGTGGAAAGAAAGAATAGTGGGGGTTCAAATAGAGAAGAAAAAGGATTAAAATTGCATAAAGCAGAATTACTGGCTCAAGAGAACAATGGCAAAAAGTAGTTTTTATTCCCCATTGTAGCGAATTAACTGACAGAGTGAACTAATTAAGACAATGAAAATAACACAGCTATGAAGGACTTTGGCAGTTTTCAAATCTGCACAGATGATCATACCACACACGATCACGTGACCCTGCTTCTCAGGAATAATTTGTTTGCAGAGACTCTCAATTCCATGCAGAATTGACATGCAATGACCTAGGCTCAAGTCAACATTCACATCCGATGATCCCTGGCCTGGGGAACGGCTTGCCTTGTCGTTACGGCGGTATCCCTTGCGAAAGTTGAGTATGAGACGCCGAAGAATGAGCTCGCCAATCTGCGGGAACTTGGAGTTGATGATGGCGGTGAGCGCAGAGTAGACGTGTGTGAATGTTGGGGAGGCCATCTGTGCTTGGATCATGGAGCGTGACAGCAAACCACTGCAGGAGAGACAAAATAGGTGATCAAACCGTGTGCTCTCACCCACACAATCCCAAGTGTCGATTCATTTATCTCACAATAGGAGACAATCTACAATTACTGTGGTGGATGTACTGTACATTTAGTGGCACACGAACGTACATGTACCTTGGGTTTGTTCAAAAAATGCACCTGCTTTTCAAAATTACGTGGCAAAGGACAGTTTAGGCATCCAGAAGAAATGCATCACCTTAATATTACCCAAGCAAAAACAAAATCCGATTATAGAAACATTGAAATGAAACCAAACCTCTTAATTCACACTGGTCATAGCCCTAAATCAATCCAATTAGGATGAGAGCAGGCACATGTTCTATATACTTGTTTTATTAGTATTCTTGCGATGCTTGTTTTGGAACCTATCCACTGCACATCGTCATACTTCAAATGACGAATACATGTACCCCAATATGTACACACGAAAACTCGGCAGAATTACTTAAAGATGCAAGGATAACAAATAGTTGAGAACCATATCATGACTTTATGATTTATGGATACTGCACGCAAAAAAGTTAATGTACGTTAAGGGAACAAAAGTGTAAAAAGTTTTTTTTTATATACATATAAAACTTAATGATGTTTCAAAGACATGTTTGTAAAAAAAACTGAAAATTCAAGGCTAAAGGGCAAGAGTTCTTACCGTCCCCGAACAACGTTCTCTTGCAACAGCTCCTTGATGATGTTGAAGATGTTTGAAACGTTTACTTTGTTGATCAAGCCATTTATTGATTTCTTCAGAGCTTCCCAGCTCATTCGCTGATACGCCAAACTTGGATGGACATAAACGGGAACACCACGTTAGTAAAACGCAACACAAATTACATACTGCCATATCATCGGTGAATATAAATCACAAAACGTCTTACCAAAAATGCCTGCTTATTTTTGTGTTTTATTTTACTGGATTAAATGAAGAATTAAATGTGAAGCCAAGCATTTGTTTCGAGCAGCCATGGTTAGCTAAGGGAGGAGGGTAGGCATGGAATTGGAGCTGTGATGGCAAAAACAACCCCCACCACAAGCGCATGGTTAGTGAGAGACAAGAGAGATGAGACAGGCAGAGACGGAGGAAGAGATTGAGGGAGAGAGTGACAGAAATGCATATAAACAAGAAAGAGGGAGAAAGAAAGACACTCAGACAGTGGTAGACAGTAACAGACACACCGTGAGACAGAAAGAGACACAGAGGGACAAAGATAGGGAGACAGACGAAAGGGGATGGACAGGAAGATACTTTTCAGTTTAGAGAATACATTAAAACAATACGACTCAGCTTAGAATTCTGATTTGCCAAAGGAAAATAATCAATTGCTATTTGGTCCTCCTACAACTTACAATAGAAAACACAAATAGTGCACGCTGCATCAAAGCAGTATGCAGTGTCAAAACAAAATCATCAATCGTCATGTGATAGTGCGTACCTGCTCTTGTCTGCAATTTGCTCTTGCATCATGCGCAGCCTTGCAGGAGGAATGTATGCTCCCCCTGAGCGTGTCAGGATGGGATCCACTTCATCCTTCTTTTTCTTAGTTGGTGGTTCCTCTCCACCTGCTACCTCCCCGTCTGGCTCAATTCGTCCCCGCACTCTCTCCGCTTCGTTTGCATCTCCCAACTCACGCCCTCTCTCGGCCTCATCCTGGGTAGGGGATTTTACTCGCTTCCTCCGCTCAACATCACGGTCTCTTCCTCCTCTGTCCCTGTATCTGTCCCTGCCGCCATCTCTGTATCTGCCCTCGTCCTCAATCATATTCCTATTTCTGTCCCTATCTCTGTATCTGCCCTCGTCCTCATCCAAGTCTCTGTGTCTGTCCCGATCTCTGTCCTTGTTCCTGAATCCATCTTTTTCTCCATATCTGTCCTCATCGTCATGTCTATCTCTGTCTCTGTACCTTTCATCATCCCTCTCTCGGTCTCGATCTCGATTCCTGCCACGGTCCTTCTCTCTATCCCGGTCTCTACCTCCATCTCTATCCCTCTCCCTGTCCCTCACTCCATGTTCCCCATCTCTGTCTCTCTCCCCATCTCTCATCTCATTCTCATCCACACCACTATCCCCACCACTATCTCTGTACCTGTCCCGGTCTCTCTCTCGGTCCCCATCTTTTTCCTTACCCCCTCGTCTATGTCTTTTCCTGTCCTTGCCCTTATCTCTTTCTATGCTTCTGACATTGTCCCCTTCCTCATTCATGTCTCCATCCTCATTCCTATCCTTGTTTCTCTTCCCACTGCCATTTTTGTCACTGCTATTTTCTTTTCCCCGATCCACATCCATATCACTATCCTCGTCTTTATCATTGCTTCTCTCCCTGCGATGATCTCGGTCTCCTTTCCTGTTTCTGCCTCCTTCCCTCTTTCTGTACCTGTCTGCCACACCTTCCTGACCTCTGCTATTGCTGCCATTCTTATCTTGGTCACTGGTTCCATCCCCATCATTCGCCTTGTCTAAATGCGTATCCTTGCGTTTGTCCTTGGTGCCGTCCCTATCTTTGTGCTTGCTTCCATCATCATCAATGTCTCTTTCCCTACTCTTATCCAGCTCTCCATCCTCACTCGTACTACTGCTCTGGTCACTGTCACTGGATTCATCATGCTTCATATCTCTTTCCTTGCGTTTGTCCTTGGTCTTGTCATTGCTATTGTCATCCTTTGCTCTGCTGCTCCTCCTACCCTCTTCTCTGTCATCGCTCCTGTCCCCACTCCGGTCGTTTTCCTTTTCATGATCCTTGTCACGGTCACGACTTCGTTCTCTGTAAAAGATGCACATGGGCTTCGAATTAATGATCATACGATATGATTTACTTCCATACTAGTCTTACCAAAGACAATATATTTTATGTTTGGAATATTAAAGTGAGAATCTGTATGCATTTTATATTGCATTGCTTGTTAAATGCAAAACGTTTATGTGTAACTATGACAGTAACATGAACGAATATGTTATACTGTATCCCATTCAAAGGCTTTAACACCAATATACGGATACATTGATGTCATACATGTATCGGCAACAGGTTGGATTTCTAATAATGGGGTATACGTGGAGTAGAAAACAGAACGCACACTTAATGTTCTAGAGTTGAGGTGGTAGAAGGGTGTAAATAAATTAATGAATAGTACTTAATTCTCATATGCAAAACAAACATTTCCATACAGGGCGAACCATGAACAGATACCCCACTAAATAGGTAGTAATTAAACTTACTATTTAAAAGTATCGACATGTCTCCCACCAACATAAACACAAGCATTAAATATGCTAGCGCTATCTTCTGTGAGGAATGGAACCATCGCCTTCATGACATTCAAACATTTGTTTGAGAATAGAGTAAAATAGGGAAATCATGAACCATGAATAGATACCCCACTAAATAGGTAGTAATTAAACTTACAATTTAAAAGTATCGACATGTCTCCCACCAACATCAATACAAACATTAAATATGCTAGCGCTATCTTCTGTGAGGAATGGAACCATCGCCTTCATGACATTCAAACATTTGTTTGAGAATAAAGTAAAAGGGGTAATCATAAATCCGTGGAATATCTACAGATGGCTCACTCCGTACAACACATGTCAGGAGCGTCCACGCACGTGCGCATGAGCGCATTTTGATGCAAAGCCTTTAGTACGACACTTCAGTTTCCCGACAAGCCGGTGTTTACGTGTCCTTATAATTAGAAGAAGAAAAAAATCGTGCAATGGATATTAAGATAGTCACGATACACGCAACTGCACGGTTTGATAAAATGGGCGCAAAAGACAAACTTACACCACCACACTACTATACTTCGATATCGTAGCACTGGGCGATTTACAAACGGTTCACCAAGGGCTCTATCGTACTCTGAACGTGGCCGCGAACACCATAAACACACGAAGTGGGCTATTATAGTTGATTACATTACGTCAATCGCAACAACAAAGGGGAAATGTGAGGTTTTTTTTATATAAACCACACCCATCCTCGCCTAGTGCCCCCCCTGCGGGAAGTGAAGGGAAGCCGGTACGTAAGCTAGGCAAGGCAGGCTTTCCGTGGAGTGGGCCCAGTGCGCTCACAACACAACGATTTAAAACGAATAATTAAAGCAACCGATACTTACTTGGACGACATTACGGGCTGCGTCACAGTGAACTATCCCCCTCCAACAAGCTTTAAAAATTAAAAAGGAAACTCGCTAAAGCAACGGAGTTCTGTATTCAAAGAGCCACGTTCTGGCGCGATGTGGAGCCTAGGCCGTGCGTGGATGGGGCAGCGTCGAAGTTGGAGGAGGGGGCGGGGGGGGGTCCCCGCAAGGGACCGCGGCGAATTTTTTCGGAGATTGATCGAATTTTCTGAGCCCCGACACAGGCAAGTCCCCCGGATTACGGAAGGGTTAGGGGCCGTCCATAAATGACGTCACGCGATTTTGGCCGATTTTTGACGCTCCCCCTTCCCCCCCTCGTCACGCGGCGTCTCAAAAAGTCAGGCCCCCCCCCCCCGTGAAATATGACGTCACAAAGCTCTGAGCCCCCCCCCCCCCTAAAAAAACATTAACATTTTTAAATTAAATATGCTTCAAATCACTTTAAACTATTGTCATTGTAGTGCGTATTTAATGTGGCGCTGCACTCTGATGTTGTAGGAGAAAACACGTATTAAAAAGGTGGCTTTGGAACGCTGAAATTTAGCATAAAATGCACTTGAAATGTTTTAACGTCTAACTAAAACTGCAGATGTTCAGAATATTGTATTGAAATTCTCTTATAATTATAAAATATTAAAGTCATTCTATTAAAAATACTGTACTTGAAACTTTGTAGTAAAACGAAGCAAAATAAAGAGTACAATCACATATTCATTCCACAGAATGAAAAGCCCTGGTAGAATTATTAAAATAAAAATATTTAATAACAATCATTCAAAACATTTACAAAATGTATGCTTCTCCATTCTCCCATGGAAAAGCAAAATGCTCCTTCATGGAACAAAGTTTTTCACTATAAATCCTTTATATGCGTGGCGGCTAGAGTCCTCTCGTCCTCTGGCTTGAGATGGCTGCCACCTATGGATCAGATGATTGCCTGCCACCATTAAGCAATTGGTAATGAAATATCTTTTTTGTTTCCTAAAAAGTGTAAAGTTATGGAAAAAAAATTTCACGAAAATAAATTGTCACGCACAACGAGTCTGTGTGCAAAATGTCAGCTCGATTGGATCACGGGAAGTGGGTTAAAAAACGACCGAAAGATTTGCACGGTCGTAAGCGCGCAAGCAAGCAAGCAAGTGAACTTAATATAAAGGATTTAAAAAGAGAAGAAGTCTGATTTGTAAAAAAAAAAAAAAGGGAGAAGATTGTATATCTGCCAGGGCCTGGCAGGGATGGGTTAATAGCAAACTGAGATAACCCTGCTATTAACCTGCTCAGGTCAATATCAGTTTGCTGTGTAGAATATGAAATGTGCAGGTTGCAGTGGACTACAGATACTGCAGTTAACTGTGATCGCACCCAACCATCATTACAAAGCCACGAGATATGCATTGGCATTGCTCTTCTATAATGCAGACGTCAAAGTGGTTCGTTGATAAGATGTTGTCGGGATTGGCAAATTACACACTCGCTTGAGCACGCTTCATCGGTGGCAGCCGACATGCAAACTCGCACTAATCCTATGACCATCAAGTTATTCCAGTGGGGGGAGAACGGGGGGGGGGGGGTGCAAATTTGACACGATCAATAATTGTATGCCTGTCAAAGATAAACGAGGGCCACTGTAGAAAGACGTCACAAATGAACAGAGGCCCTTTAAACATTCACGTGATTGATCCACGCAGGCGTGAGATGAATTGTCCTCGCTGCTGCTGGTGGAAAGGCACGGTGGGTGACAGGCAGTTTGGGAGGCATTTTTTGCAATGTGATGGCTCCACCTCATCGACAAGGACACACTGCCTCGTTTGTAGTGGGTGCAACCAAGTGCCAGATTAAGCTAGTGTGGGGCCTGTGGCATGTATGTTATAAAGGGGCCCTAAATTAAAAAAAAACGCAAATATTAAAACACAATGTTTTTACTTGAATAGTAAAGTAGTTGTAGATTTGAAGCTTTCGTGACTGCAAGGATTCATACTCTTAGGTTTTTTCGGTAAAGTCACGTAGGTAAAAGTGTGCCGTTCCTGGCCCTTCCCCCCTCAACCATTATATATACGGGGTAGTATTTCTTGTGATCTCTCATTTACTTGATACAGCTGTCGTGGCTGTGACGGTTCCACCTGAAGACGGAGGCTTGTGTTGCTTCCGAAACGTCGTGAATTTTTTTAATTTGTTTTATTTTACTTTTATTAATTTAACATTTTTACCTACGTGACTTTACCGAAAAAACCTAAGAGTATAAAGTAATTGTATGTTTTCATTTGCTATACAGCCAGATAATACGAGAAATTGCTAACCTTAAACACCCAGTCGTTCATAAACGTTGAAGGCAGTATAGTACTATAGCAATAGAGCAAGTGCAGAATCACTGCACCGGAATTGATAGCTTGAAAGCATTTAGCGCGGGGCCCTTGAAAGTGCGGAGCCCGTAGCGACTGCACGTGTAGCTACTGCACGTGTAGCTACTGCACGTGTAGCTACTGCACGTGTAGCTACTGCACGTGTAGCTACTGCACGTGTAGCTACTGCACATGTAGCTACTGCACGTATTCCCCATCAGCATTCGCTGATTGATCAATTGTTCGCAAATTATAGTCCTCACACCTCTCCATGTGCTATGAAGATAATCCGACATTGGGTGCAACTGGGTCGAGCAACCGTGTTGACACAGTCACATTGGCAAATGTGATTTGTAACTTCGATCCTTACCTTATTATCTGCGAGTGTGCAACAAATCCTATTATCAATGCCCCTATTCTTCCTCTCATCTGCGGTTCATTGTACATTGTGCTTTAAATTTTTGTAACACTTCTGAGAATTTGCAACAATACCACGAGAAATGTGCCTCCGGGCTATGGAGACCAACTGGAGAAGATTCCAGGCACGCGTTGAAGCTATTAACATACAGTTTGTTATCATGTTACAGTGTATTATCCATTCTTTCGCCATTAAAAACAATACTTCCATATAAGTGTTAACATTTTACTGGTAGGAACCCACTGGTTCCACCAGCCCACAGGGGATTATTGTGTCCGTCCGTCCGTCGTGCAGGGAGGGGCTGGGTGGGGAGGGGAAGGGCTGGGTGGGGCTGGGTGGGGAGGGTGGGGAGGGGCTGGTCACCCCGTGGTGCCCTTATAAAACTCAACGTTTAACCTACTCACGCCGGCTTGTGCCCGCCCTCAGTCGGGCATATTTGCGGAATACACCACGCCGCCATTGACCCTGGCCATTGACCGAGCAACCCAACGTTCCTATCAGCTCCCTCCGCAGGAATGTGTTTTTAAGCATCCTGTATATGAAATACATTTGCAGATAATTACGTGGGCAGTCGGATCCACGACGCTCATCCAGCACATCGCCGCAGATAAGAGGAGTCATTTCGTATCGATGAAGAAAGGAAATATGTTGTGTACCACCATGTTGATGTCACCTAACATCAACATGGATGTGTTCCCTGGTCTATGTTGCTCATGTTGATGCCCCCAAGTGTAAATCCAAGCAAGCGTGTAATCCATTTTCCTCGTCAATGGCCATGCGTTCTGACCCATACTTCACAGGAGGTAATAACGTTTATAAAAAAAAATGTACTTCTGAGAACACACGTATGTTGGAAAGCGTTACAAGAATCCTCGCACGTACATGTTTTTCATGCTTGTTTTAAACAAAAAAACACATTTCCAAATGACCACATTTGACTCTTCAATGCAAATGTAGGGCACAGTCGTCTCGAACCAATCCCGGCTGGCAGAATGGAAATGCCAAACAAAACAAATAAATAAACGCTTCAACAATTGACCAACGAATGTGTATGACAACACAACACACATCCTTTATTAATGCAGCATTTACCTTATGTACAAGCAAATGGTAGTTATGGTACTGTTGTATAGAAGGCATAGGGATTTTTTTTGGTATAGATTTGAACTCCTGCCAGAAATACAGATATTCAGCGCTAAAGGCCTTTTGTTACTCTTTTTATTATTGTTTAATTTCAAACACAATTCCAATTCAACTAAATCGCAAGCCCGGCGAAATGACGGTCATATGACATTCCTAGAAGAGAAAAAAAATATGTATAGATTTCCGCACAGTTTCAAAAACAGCGTCAAAACATAAACACCCCTTTTGTTTGCCCAACAGTGTTCAGTATCCATGTTGGACGCGAGCCATATGAAATGCTTTCATACAGCAAACTAGGGCACGATACAAAGTGAAAACGGATGCTTACAAGATGAAGGTTTTCAGACATTTAACAATGTAATGCACTCTTCTTTAAAATCGCGCAAAACTTGTCACCAGGGTGCTGTTCAAGATTGCGACGTTCTCGTCAATTCCAGGTTTTAAAGCCCTCCACAACAGGTGGTGGGTATGTGCAGTTGCATTTGTGGTATTTCCAACATTGAAATCTGGGTTTCAAATCTTACGCTATCTCATTGATGAGAGTTGATGACACCCAAAAGGTTGAAATCCTATCCAGAATTTGCTTGCTTAAACAAATGCTACAATAGGTTGTTGATACTAAAACATGTTACATATATGTGGAGACAGAAATGAGTTCTGCTTATATTTGAGTTTAATGTCTTTAAATATCATATATAATAGTTCCTAAATTATGCAACGTCAATCAAATTAGAAAAATGGCCTGTATGCTCCGAAAGCAATTTTTTGAGAAAAACATCACACATCAAAGAGCAAAAAGACACAATTGTTATTTGTAATGCTCACAATTATACCTTTGATTGGACCTATTTTTGTGCAGGGTCCTCCAGCCTGGATTATTATTATTTTGTAATGAATTCAGCAAGCAAGCTGTTCCAATGTTAGGCTCATGAACACTTTATAATTGTGAATACAAATGTGTTGGCTTATTTTTTTGCTGCATTCTCTGACGCCGTAAAGCAAGACTGCAAGAACGACCTTCCAATACAACGTAAGTCTTGTTGACAGTTCGGGTCACGTGACCTCTCATCATTATTTCCCCTTCCAGCTACCCCACCCGAAATGAATTTTGGGAAAAGGCATAGCCGAGCAACATCTCATTACACAAAGAACATCCAAGTGTGCACGTATAATGCATGTCAAGCGAGACATGTTATTTTTCTGTAAGTTAAACTATTAGCATGCTGCAGGGATATGCGGAATCAAAATCAACAGTAACGAACAGCGATGCAATGCTATGCAGTGTATATATGTTTATATAAGTGGAGTTATCAAACGTAGCTCTTAAAAAAACACGACAATGTTTCCCCAGCATGTGCCTTGCGATCTGTAATTCATGCTACCATTCAATAACTGCCCTTGAAGTCTGAATTTACGCGTTTATCATGACAGACAAATATTCCTTTTTTTTCTCTTATAGAAGCACAAACCTAGCTGGCTGTAGCCCTCCCCCCACCTTCTCATGTTTATTACTTACACATGTCTTACATTTAAAGTACCTAAAGTTAAACCACTTTTCTCAAGCAAGGCAAGCGCGAGTAAGATTTGACTAAATCTATACAGGTCTCTTAAACACATCCCAAACCGTGCGAGTCTTTACAATGACGTAGAGTACGTATGAAACGTGGCGGGTCAATTATTACCACGATGGAACACACACACAAGGGAAATCTTAATTTTTTCTTCACACAACCGCCTGCTCAGAATATACTTGCAACTGGGCTTACAGGTCAGCACGTATTAACAAGATACCGCTTTTCCATTGGCACATCCGTGCCGAGCCAATGCAGGATCCTCACCGTGCTGGTGATTTCCCACTGGCGATTCTTCAATGCGGAGATGGAACCCAACCCTCGGTTCCCTCTGAATCCAGCTTGGTGCCAAGCAGGCCCAGCCAGGGGCGGGTGGGCGGGTGAGAAGCGGAAGGGGGCTAGTGACATGTGCATGGAGTGGAGAAAAACGTGAGTCGGAACGATTTGAGAACTCAAAATCACCGCGCCATCTGCGTGTGTCGTGACTCGTTCAACGCGTGTGACGTCAGCGGCGCGGCTCGGCTTGTGCAATGGAAACGCAACCTGGCTGAGCCGTGCCGGGCTGGCTCAGTGTGTGGCCCTGGCGCGGCTCGGTCCCCAGGGTTCGGCAACAGAAATAACAAGAGACATTTGTTTTAGTAATTGGCAAAAAACAAAACGATATTTCTAGAGCCGCAATCAATGCACGTGCGGCTTCGGAACTGCAATTTGCCAACCTCTGGGCTAGGCTGTTCAGTAGAATAGTCAAATGGTTGCTATTTAAAGTTTCGCTTTCAAAAAGTATACTTGCTATACAATATTACCAGGCATGTAACCAGTCATCCCACGGCGATTCTTTGAGTGGTCACGAATCATGGTCACAATTCAATTCAAGAATAAATTACATTTCGGTGAGATTTTATCAACTCATTTGCATTGTTTCTTGATAAAAAAAAATGTTTACAGTTTTCGCCACACCATGAGGCTAAATGCGAAATTAGCAAATAATTTGCGTACATTGTAAATAATCCATTCTCATGCACATTATTTGATGCAAGTATCATGAATCGCATCGATGATTTTTACCGATAACTCGATCCGTTGTTACATGCCTAGGTAATTCATCCTGGGGATCACTTGGTTAATGTGGGGCGGAGAGCAGAAGAAAATAGCAAATGTAGCTCCTCTTTATCCACGGAATGACGGGGAACGAATTCGCAAATCCTATTGTCCACGGAGTTGTTCATGAATTGACTCCACTATGGGGCAAAGGTTAGTGGTTCAAATCTGGCGGGCTGCCCTGGTTAATATCGCCGATGCAATAACCGTAAAATGTGTGCACCGTCTGCTTCGCAGTGGACGTTAATCATCCCGTGGCGTCGCTCAAAAAGAGATATTTAAAATTACACCGAAAATTACTCAATTAGGATTGCACATAGCAACATAGCGGCTCTGCAGTGAAACGACTGCACACGATGTCTGTAAAAGTGCCATCCTTCGTGATAGCCTTGCGCTATAAGAATGGCATGGATACTAATTGTACTAACTTATGACGCATTTTTATTAGTATTCTCTCGTTATTCACGAGGGATACATTCTGGAGATGCTCTTGAATAGCAAATGAATAAAGCTATTAAATACGTGAAAATAATCTCATTATTTTATCTCTCATCACTTAAATCTCTCATCGCTTTATCTCTCATCACTTTATCTCTCATCGCTTTATCACTCATCGCTTTATCTCCCATCGCTTTATCTCTCATCGCTTTATCTCTCATCGCTTTATCTCTCATCACTTTATCTCCCATCGCTTTATCTCTCATCGCTTTATCTCTCATCACTTTGTCTTTCATCACTTTCCCCCATCACATTCTCTCTCTGTCGATGCAGTCGTGTTGAGTGCCAGACGCGATTCGTGGATATACAAAACCACAGATTGTGAATGAGGGAATATTTTACTTATCCAAGGAAGAAAAACTTGTCGGGATAATCATAAATAAGAATTGGGTCACGGATAATTGTAGACATCGCAGACCCGACAGCTCCTGCGGATGATAGGATTCTTGGTTAACATGGTCGTGGATTCTCGTGTATTGCATTTTCAAATATCGCCAACTGAACTCGAAAGCTCTTTGGTTTTTTCGGTAAAGCCACGTAATTTTGCTGTGACGGTTCCACCTGAAGACGGAAGCTTGTGTTGCCTCCGAAACGTCGTGATTTAATTTGTTTTCTTTTTTTGACTTACGTGACTTTACCGAAAAAACCAAAGAGTATGGATCCTTGCAGTCACGAAAACTTCAAATCTAGAATTAACTCGAAAGGTTGCATCCGTCAGCCTGATACACAATGGCAGCAAGGTCCTTTCATCAGTTCCGTGATGCCAGTATTATTTAAGCAGCAGTAAAGAGCAGCATTTTTTTTTACACCAATAAGTGACCACCACCGTGTTTGTGGCCAAATTAAAAATCCCTTTCCACGCAGCAGTGAGAGCGAGTTTTTATTTTTAGACAGCGTTGTCTGCTTTGTATTACATTAATCTGAGCCATAACAGCGGCTTCGAGTTCCCACGTTGAATCTCAAGTTACGTTGCACGTCACATCCGTAACTAGCGACGAAGTTTAATTAAACACAAGGCAGACAGCACTGTATCATCCATCGCCAATATTTTCACATGACCGCGACACAACAAAAGATTTATTTTGCGAGCATGCAGCAATCGGCACCGCGTGTCACTGCGATAATGTTTCGTACGGAATTTTAGAATCTATTAAACCAACTTCAAACATTACACACGAGCACTGGACGTTATTCGATTGCTTCGCGAACAGCGTCAAAGGCAATCGCACAGTTGGAATCAATTCGACAATGAAGAGTACTTTGAAGTGTTTTATTTCCATACTTAAAGGTTCAGAAGGTGGCAGCCAAGGCATGGGAACGCATCCACCGGGAAAGATGGGGAGATGAAATCAGTTCGGAGCGCGCGAGCTGGGTGGGAATTTTTTTGTTTGTTACCACATCGCAGGATTGTACGAAGAGACGCTGACCGTGGCATGGGGGAAGGCCTTCATCCAACAGTGGATTGAGCGTGGCTGATGACGATAACGATGAACACAACAAATATTTATAGGCGTTTAACACAACACATCTATGTGCAAAACAAATACTGCACTAACCTTAATTTGTTTTGGGGAGGGGGAAAAACTCACAGGAAACGGTGTGCGATATATGTCATATCTAGGTTAAAAAGTACTACATATCACAAGCTGCCCTTATATGGTATTAAAATCTTTCATTGCGTAGTATAAGACACCACATGACAAGCGGGTTGATTAACTTAACAAACGCAGGTGATTGAAGCAAGTCGTTAACTGTGTTCTATAGATCAACCAACCCTAGGCGCTAGGCTATAGTGCTTATGTTATGCAGTAGAAAATTGTAGCTGTCCACCATGAAGTTGAATCTGTTGGTGCATACATTGTACGTGTCTTTCTTTAAATCATGCATTGTTAATATACCGGTTCAAGTTTAACTTAACACTTAAACCGCTACTTTATTTTCCAGAGTACAAATCCTGAAACGCATATTCACAAATGTCTCGGTAAGCATTTTTCCTTTATTGTAATTTGTAATCTGAACAATTTTCCTGGACACTGTAAAAAAGAAAAAGATCCAGAAGAGACCGTTTAGAAACATGTATACTTGAGATCGTTCGAGTGTGAACGGTAGTGTTGTAATTTACCAAACCCACTGCCTTTTGGCTAAATTATATGCACGGACAGCATCTGTGTAGTTTTAAATTGGACAAAATTCCCCAAATAATTAAACAAATTCAAAACCAACGAAGGTTTGGTTGTACATATGCAAAACATGCAGGGCGATCCATCTACAGACACCCCACTCATTTCTAATGACGCCCTTGCTGTCAACTAAAGAGGTGATTAAATATTGTGCAGGCTCGGTTTTAAAAATAAAAGTCTATTGGGTCAGTTTTAAAAGATGTAATGTTTATTGACAGTGGTGGCAGACATGTAGAGGCTTGAAATAAAATGTAATTTCCTCTGTAATTTCTCCCCGTTATTTTAGTGGAGTGCCTATAAACAGATCGACTTGTACAAAGGGTAATAAAGAGACACAATTCAACATACCAAAACACACGTTAATGTGTGGATATTTTGTTGCAGTAGAACAAGGGATGTTCCATAAAGGTCCCTTTGTACCACAAGAGTGCGGATATGCCAAGTCTGTTTGACAAAAGGTGAGCCTTGAAAGAAAAACTGTTGCTGGAACTTCCCAAAAGCAGTTTTATAATATGAGCAGCATAAAAGCATTCACATTTGCAAACCAAACAAGCAGAAAGTCAAACTGCTGCTACTCGGAAACGTGCCAAATGGCAATTTTCTTGTTTTCCTAACTCGTGTTACGGCTAACTTGCGTAATTTTAATTTCAACCAGAGCTCTGTGTTGGAGTCTTGAACTTATCTCACGAGGGGTCGGGTGCCTAAGTAATGTATTTTAAACTATTTAACAAACATTGGCAAATTGTGCCACCCTTTAAGTCAAGTCTTCAGCAGCGTCTATACTCTTATTTCTATTCCACTGATATCGCAGCTACAAATTCAAGAGAAGCCACAAACTGAGCAGCTTTGTACGGCTATATCATCATACGAATGACTGCTTACGCAACATGACGGAGCACCCTTTACGCGCAGTGCGAAGATTTTAAAGCATCACCTCCGTGTGTCCAAAAATGAGCAAAATAAGCCGATGCGTGACTCATCAGAAGGTTACCCAATTTGCTTTTCTGCAATAACAGAAAGGTGACACAATGTTCATTACAATCTTACCACACCAAGCCTCAACAAAATAAACCAACACGTCCGTGAAATGGCAAGCGATTGTAAAAAAAAAACAAAGTTACTTTCTGACCGGCAGTTCAAACGCAACCCCAAGAATCGTACAGGCAAACGGATGGACAGATGGTAGAGTGGAACGATCCACCCCTCTCCCCCAGCCTCTGGAGATTCAATGAATTGTCACGATTCCATTTAAGAATTTAAGTGATTCTAACATTGCGGGGAGAAAGGTAGTTGCTTCCTAGTGTGACAGCAGGGCTGATGTGAACCAATCACATACAACGTTAGATGAATTGAAAAAAAAATCCCTTGCAACTTATGTGATTTCATGCATGTATCGCGAGCTCAAGAATTAATCGACGAACAGATGCATCGTTCCACTTGTGTATGAAGACTATTACCAGGCGGAAACCCATGGATACATGCATATCTTCTGCAAAGCAGTGAATATCTTGCAGCAAAACAAAACGAAGCGATCATAAAATCACTTTCTCACTAAAATCGTAAATTTCACGTAATCATTTGTTCCTTTTCCCATTCCCCCTCCACGTATTGCTGCAAAAATGACCAAATAATGAGACCGATGACAACAACGCGTGGGTGAAAATTTACTCTATGATATTGGGTTCGTTTGCCATCTGAACCAATCAGCAAGAGTAGGTGGTGGGGGGGGAGTGGAGAAGGTGGGGTGGGTAGCGTAAGAGGCGGGCGTTTGTCGTGCTGCGTGACCTGGGGCTCGGCTCGGTCACGGGGCAGGGAGGGGGGGGGAGAAGTGAGGGTTGGGGGGGGGGGCAGCATCACGAGGGGACAGCGTCGTGCTTCGCCCGTTTACGTGGCGTAGCGCTTGGTCCACTGGCGCGCCGTCCGGTCGTGCTCGCTTCTGTTCGTCAGGTACTGCGTGGCGATGCTCCCCACGAGCGGGTCCGCTGTGACGAACGAAAACGGTAGCAGAGAAACGCGCTCAATCACGCACACTCTGATGCGGCAAACATGGCGGGGGGGGGGGGGCCCTTCCTGGCAAAGGGAGCTCGAGAGAACACCTCCAGAGGTGATTTGGCCTACTCTTCCACACTGGCTAGATGTCTTGGAAGAGGCGGGAGTAGACACACATTACTCCCCACCACATACGACCCAGCCGACAATTGACTAATTTTGCATAAAACATGTGTTTTTGGTTGAATCGCGTAAATATAAATGTGTCGTTAAACCCGCCACAGCCAATTAGTAAGGTTTGTCACGAAAACAGAACATGCCAATTCATTACTGAGTACAGCATGCCGGTGTGTTGGAGAGCAAATCAACTACATTTACAATCAGAGTACGACGTTTCGCCAGTAATTACAACCAGCTTCATCAGGCGACAGCCAGATTTGTGGAGAAATCCTCCTGTTTTGTTCCTTAAATAGAGGGATATAAGTGATGACGTCACTTGTGAGCCCTTCACGTGTGAAAGGGGGGGCGGGATTAATGAACGCATATAAATTACAATGGGTATCCATTACCGGTTGGGTTATATTTATGCGATCTAACTCAAAAAAACCTATATTACGTATGATATTGGTCACAAAAGCCTACATGTTAAACCGACTAACTGTGGTGTGCCTATTCGTACTGCTGGCAAGGCAGGGCTAGCATGTGTGGGGCACATCTAAGGCTGGGGCTGCGATGAAGATGCTTCTGCAATGGAAACTTGAAGAGAGGAGGAGGAGGAAGAGGGAGGAAACAGATTACGGTGGGAAACAATATGATTGGTTGGACAGGACTTCTCCTTGAGAGATGCTGAAGGTCACAGGAGATGGAAAGTACCCGCTATGAACATCAGCTATCAATTATAAGGATGACATTGGAAAGAAAGGGAAACTGCATTTCACTGGTGCCACTTAATAGCTTGCTTGGCTTGAAGTGGCCCGCTCACACGCCTGTACACAGCACACCTTGTTTACAACTGGCATTTAGCTTGCTGTTAGATACTGGCTGTCACAATAACTTCAGTAATTTCTACAACCCGCTGGAAAGAGACAACATAAGATAAAACTGCTCTACAGGTGTTGTTAGTCTAACTCAGAATGCACAAAACAGGGCAACGTGCGTTGAATAAAAAATAATCTACTACTTCTTACGGTGCGGAGAATTGATCTGCAAAGATCTTAAATTTGGAGCTTTCGTGACTGCAGGAATTACTCTTTGGTTCTTTCGGTAAAGTCACGTATAAAGATAAAATAATAAATTAAATAAAGTTTTCTTATTTAATTTATTATTTTATCTTTATACGTGACTTTACCGAAAGAACCAAAGAGTGATCTGCAAAGGTTTATACATTTGTGTCGAGGTGGGCTGGTGAGCCAGCGGACGGCTTCAGGAGCACCCTGGTGAATATTCAAAGCGCTGCTGGCGAATGATTAAAGAGGGCAAGTGGTGTTAATGTGCGCTCCGTGGTTTGAGGTTAGTAGCCACAGTCTCACCGTAGGGATAGGTTCTCAATTGGCCATTGGTTTAGGGAGATACTTGCAACTGTCGTGCGACCTGGCCAGAAATGATAGCTGAACGAAGTGGCTTTCACCGCATTGAAATATATTGCATCCAAATAAAACAACTAGAATTTCGGCGGCTCATCGGATTCCTCCATGAAAATAAAATTCAGATTCTGATTATCTATGCATTCATCTTGAACATCGCACCGTACACAGCTAGCCGAGCACATCTTCTCTCGGGCTTTCTCCAAGCACGACTACGGGCATCTTCAGTGGTTGAAGAATCGCCCAACAGCGGCAGCCCAAACCCGGGAAAGACCACACTCAGGATTCCACGCAGCTTTGAGAACCCACGTGGAAAATTACGCATTTATGTAACGTGCAAACTCAGCGAAGGCTCCACTCACCAGGGTTGCAATCGGTGAGGAGGGAACAGATGGAAAGGAGCACTTTGGAGATGGTGAGTGCCGGGCTCCAGTTATCCTTGAGAATGTCCAGGCAGATGACTCCCTGGCTGTTGATGTTGCAGTGGTAAATGCGAGTGCGGAAGGTCACCTAAGGGAAAATTGTTTGGCACCATCAGCAGAATCCTGGCTTATAAGGCATGTGAATATGTGTCGATTCAGCCATAAAATATGTGTATTCTCGTGCTCACAATACACACGGTAAAACTCCTGTTGTCTACAGCAAGGTGAACATTGTGGCTCCTATTACCTGCAATGTCAACCACGAGTTTTCTCCACTCATCCTTACTCGGGTCGCATGATTCATAGCATAGTGTGTGAACCACTGTGCCACCGCTCTAGCTCAATTAGCATTTAGTTTTCACAAATTATCGATTCTTCCATGCAGTTTAACGGATGAATCCAGAGCTTAGGAATCAATTTCAATTGATGAATCAGTGCATTATTACATGCCTACTCACCTGTTCAGAAATGTCACTGTGTAATTTGCTGGCAAAATGCCCTCTCTGATTACACCACTATCACAGCGAATTTGTTCCCACCATCACAACAACAAAAAAACACATTCATGAACAAAGCATCTTAGCAATATTGATGTATTCATCATCACTTAGCCATGGTCAATCCCCTGGCAGATGAAGGCCTCCCTAAAGCCACCGCCACTTCTAATGATCCTGTAGTCACAATCTGTCAAGCACTTGCCCATTAATTTATTGTCATCGCTCCATCTCCTGGGTGGACGTTACATTCCTGATGTGTTGCAATGTCAACTATTCCGGGAAAACTCTGACCTCTGCTCACCGAGTCTCAATTCGGTAAAATGTTGAATACCATGCAGTCTTACTGTATTAGTTGGAAGGCTGGCGGATATTTTTTTTTTAAATGATGAAAGAGAAACCAAAACATCCTCATCCCCACCCTGCCTTACGTACAATGCGTAAACACTTGTGTGCCTGCCCGCAGGGCTGCACTCGCCTTTAACAGAATGTCACACAATGTGAATCTAACATCGCCAGACCGCGCAGTCTGGAGTAATGATGACAAGGCCCCTTTAGTTTTGGATACGTCACAATGCGCAGCAATCGACACTGGTATTATACATCCGAATAATACAGAGGCAACGATTACCCACTTAGCCTTAACAGATTGTGCGGGCAAGTGCCGTCAGCAAACACTTATTTAGGTCGGCGTGGTGCGCCTGGGAGTTGTGTGGCCAGCCACATTTTCCTCCCAAGTTCTGATGTGGTACACGCCACACCACGTATTCATTTGAGGACGAGTCCATCTCTGACAGGTCTGGGACTGGTGCAGATGTTATCCACTACTGTCAGCTGTGGCTGGGAGTCGAACCCAGGTTGTTGGATCCCAAGCACCATGTGCTAATCCACTACTCCACCCTTGTAAGTAAAAGCCTAAACCACAGGCACTTACTCAAACAAGCATGGCACAGTATTAAACACACAAGGGTATAAATATATGTAAGAACCATGTAAGCAAACACATTCCCGAAATTTAAAATAGCTTGGTAAAATTATCAGGAGCTTTGCAAAAACAAACAAGAAGTATATAGCACTGTACTTTTTAATGTTTTTTTATTTATAAAAACACACACCCAGTATTATGCCATTACTGGTGAATGCCGTTCTTATGGGCGCACCCCCACCTCAGCAATCTGTTGCACAACACAGTTGCACGCAACCGAGTCGCTTATGTGTGGACGTCTTTGTTGCAAGTTAAAAGCAGCTGCACCAGCCCCCTTGCTTAAAAGCAGAAGCAGACTCCACTTTCGAGTATCGATCTGCTCAGATATGATTTCTACCGACTTAGTCCATCACGTTGACATTTGCAGACGCATAATTGGTCGTAAAGGTGGGTGGGGGGGTGGAGCTAAGCGGGAAAAGGGAGGGTGGGGGCTCTGCATTTAAGGGGTGCGGCCAGACACTTTGAGCCTCACCCAGACGTGACCACGGCAGAGGTCGCAACCGGGTACCCGATACCCGTACCCTACCCGATACCCGGTGCGGCCGGGTACGGGTAGGCCGTGAGTCACTGGTGAGTAACCGTTTGTCACTCATTTCGGGTAGGGTACGGGTAGGGAACGGGTACCTATACCCGGCCGGGTACGGGTACCCATTTGCGACCCTGGTGCGGCCGGGTACGGGTACGGGTAAGGAATCAAAACCCGTTTGCGACCTCTGGACCACGGTGCTGCAAATACTCACTCAGTAGCGGTCAAAGCCGTCGCAGGCGACGACGACGATAGAGTTTCACGGCAGACTCCAGGAGCGATTTGTTCACACAACGGATGGGCTCAGGTGTGGATGCGCCCAATGAACACAACGCCCATAAAACGAGAGCTCACCTTGGGTGGTTTGAAGGGGTATTCTGGAGTGAAGGTTATGTCCAGGAAAAACACTCCGCCCTCATACACAGAGCCAGGAGGGCCCAAGATGGTTGACCTCCATTCGTATATGTTGTCACCCTTGGGGCCAGCACTGCAAGAAAGGAAAGTTCCATTTGAGGCTTGCGTGCTATGTTCTGCCACAAGATCACTATACACGTAGAGTCGCAAGGCAACAAAGCTTCGTTCACATAAGTTGACAGTTGTTAACTCCATTGACGGTATGTATATTATCGACCCTGGTAGGATGATGGGCTGAATCAACCCTCAAACACGATTTGAACTCACAACAGTCAGATTGTGGGCCACCCAGGTTGGGTATCGGAATCAGAGTATTTATTTATCCTGGAGAAATCCACTGATCTATGAAGCTCTTTTTCACAGATGTGCAGTAGGGGCAGGTCATAAAGTTATAACAACAACACAAAATAAACTATAGGAGTGTAGAGTATCGGACAGTTAAGCTATTAACTATGAATAAATAAACTACAACCAGCTATTAGTTCATTTTCAGAAGCGACCTGGCCACAAATTATAGCTCAACGAAGTGGCTTATGTAGAAATGTATACTAGACACGTTTCTAAATGTGGAGGACAGGTTACACTATAGTATGTATAGCATGTGTTTTATTATGTGCATATGTACGTTCCTGTGTGAGTGTATTTGGGGAGCGGTAGTGTAGCGGTTAGCGCGCTGCGCTACGAACCCGGCGACCCGAGTTCGATTCCCGCTCACGGCCAACACCAGTGACGATTATCTAAACCGGTCCTGGGCCTCCCATAGGTCGACTCAGCCTCAAATGAGTACCCGGTGTGATGTGTAAACATCGCCACTGGGGAGACAAAGGCGGTCGGGCGTGGTGCTGGCCACCCACCCCCTCATGTACCGTTCCGGCCTTCATAGTTGCTCGCTAACAGCACTTGCCCCTACAGTCTGTTATAGGCTATACGGGGGAACTTTGTATGTGCGGATAAACGCCGTATTGTTTGGCAGGGCACCTGTGACCACTTGCTTAAGTCTGAGGACAGCTTGATTTAGGGCGGCAAGTGTGAATGTTGGCGCACACGTTGTGCATTTGTACCCCAAACACAAGGGCCATGTGAAAATGTACGAGGCAAACTGAAGCGCCACGTCACAGCGGCGGGGGCGGCACCTTCTGAGACCTCTTATCCATTTGTGTGCATCGAGCCATGAGGTCACGACGCACAGCGGTGGTCCACCCACTCCAACAACCGCTTTCTCCAAAACAGAATCATCTTTCATCTTTATTTAGACTGCAGGAGGAATCCGATGAGCCATGAAGCTCTTTCCACAGATATTCATTAGGGGCGGGGTCAGCAAGTTACAGCAGCACGGTTCTTAATAATAGAGATTTTTGGGTTAGATCACGTAAATATGAATGTGTCGGCAAACCCGCCACCACCCGACACAGCCAATTAGTAAGGTTTGTCACGTAAACAAAACGTGCCAAATCGTTACGAGTACAGCACACCGGTGGGTTGGAGAGTAAACCCACAACATTTACAATTTGAGTACGACGTTTCGCCAGTAATTACAATAAGCATCATCAGGCGATAGCGAAAAACGATAGGAGTGCAAAGTAGAGAAAATGGTAAGCGAGTCAGAATATGAAGAAATAATTAATACATTATTCAATCATACAATTCCGATTCATCAAGATTTGCCAAGGCAGCAAAAACAACAACAAAACAGTCCCAGACCACACCAAGATATCACACAGCAGTAGTCACTCAATAAAACTGGACTTTTAACGTTGAACTATCGATACACCGGTAATGATCAAAGTCGCAAATCACATCTGCAAACGACAAAGAGCGATTCGCACGGACGTGCCGATCTACGTTGGCCCACGTGCCCGCGATAAGTGGGGCACAGCTTGCGCCATTCATACGGCGGCAGTTATGTGCTGGCAATGCCATAACTCTGGCGTACAACGACGGGGACATGGCACCTGCTGCTATACGGTCATGTGTAATATAACACCCACATCATCTGCTCCATAGCCAGAGGGTCAAGAACACCCAAGTACACACAGGGGAACTATTATGCATTGATGTCAAGGCCATTTTGACACCCAACACAGCCACCGCAAGCTGGAGGAAAGCCACGCGCATCCGACTGTGTATATATCTATTCAATGAAAAGCTAACAAAGCGGTTCGCAGGGTCTACCATTTTTAAGCGACGTCTCATTTTAATTGCCGGGCACATTCTTGTTGTTTTGTTATTCGCTTCAACTCATCGTCTCTGCTGATCATTTCCGAAAAAAGAAAGAAATAAACGCGCTGGCGACACCTTGCCAATAAATCTACCCGTGCAGTGCCTTTTAAAACCCGGTTATTAACTTCCAACGGGTGTGATTTCTCCGCAAAATATGACAAAACCACACGGCTGAGTGAACGCAACGTGCTTCAGCGTGTCCAGTCGATTTTTTTGCTTCATTATTTTTTATTATTCAAAGCAAACAGACGCCCAAGTCCCACGCCAACCACCGCCTCTCGCATGTGCTACGCTAGACCCCAGTAACTGTAGACTCTGCGACACCAATACGGTGAGGGTAGACATCTAAGCTCATCACGCACAGCACTGGAATACAGTGCTGCCATGCTCAAGGGACCAATGCACACGCACGCACGCACCATGGACACACGCACACGAGCACGCATCTGCGCAACCTCATTACGAACGAGTAACAGCCACGCCGGACACTATTTTCCTTGGCACCTGAATGATGTCCTACTTAATTGCGACTTCAAACCAACGTCGCCCAAGCATCAATCATATCAAACGCGTCTGCATTTCAGATGTTCTTCGGAGCTTTCCCATCTGAAGCTTCGTCGACATCCTTGGACGCACTGGCCCACCGCTGCGAAGCGTAAAAATAATCTTTGTTATTTTTAGTCCGTCCACCCCGCCTCAGACAGGGGGCCGTTAAAATGTGCGCCCCATCCACAGAGCGGCCCCGCAGTCGTGTTTTGGACGTAAAGGAGCTGGGCGGGAAACAGGAAACATATGGGCAACACACGTGAACCGCAGACATCCCCAAGCGAGCTCGCCCACACACAACAACGCACATCCCTATGAAGCACTCCTGGCCAGGTGCAGCGATGTGTGCACTTCTTCCTCTCTCTCTCTCTGCACGAGGAGGTCCATTGTCCAGTTGCTGATTGAGGGGATTGGGCGTCGAGTCAAGAGCCCACAGAGGTACCCGCCGGGTGCCGTGCTCGCTCCGTGGCAGCGTTGGCAGGGCCCGGTTTATTTTCCGTGCAGGTTCTGCACATTTCTGCCCGTTATTTTAAGAAGCCGTCATCCTTTTCGGTGTCTTGTGATATTACTGCCAGGGTTATGCTTGGGTTCAAGAAAGGGACTTAAGGGTGTAAGGCCTTCAAAGCTTTGCGTTTAAGATGAGGATTTCACTTACGGCGGTTTTGATTTCCTAATGAAATGAGTTTGGCTTGGGAATTCATATTAAAAAAAAAAAACATGGATTGCATAAAGAAGATATGGTGATGAACTCTGAACCTAGTAGCCTGTGTTTGAGTCCCGACCAACACTGGTGATGAGTGATATGTGAACTGATCCTCGCTTACCAGCAAGGTGAATTGTGTTCAAACAACCTCTTATTGTCATCAGTGTATGGTAATATGACCCATATAGCATAAATAACAATGAGCACATTGATATCTTGGTGGCAGAGAAACCCAGGACGAGTCTGAAAATGTCACAAACTCAGCAAATTATTGTTTTTCTTAGCAAGAATACTTCCCAAAGGGTGAAAGCCTCTTTGTGCAGATATCAGTTCAATGCTGTAATCTCCACTCATATGATGAAAGATGCTTGCGAGATGAATGGGCGTCTAATCGTACTAGCCGATTGAACAGCCAAGCTCAGCAATCCTTGACCTCTGCTGTCCATTACACTCCGCTCAAGTAAAAAAAAAAATGTGACATATCGACCGTGGTAACAATTGCTAGACTAGTGATAATCATTAACAGCCGTGCTTTATCCACTGCTGGGGGGGGAGGCCTCCCCCACAAGCTGTTGATACCCCACACGGCCTTTGCGATGCAACAATCAATCGAGCGCCTGCACACCAGTCGATTTCCCACTCTACGTCCCCACGGATGTGTTCCCACCATTGGCTGCCAATCCACCATCAGGTCTCATCCACTGGCAAATCATCCTTCCCAAACCCACGGACTCTTCTGAACAAAGAACGCTGTCATCTCTCCAATCTCTTCTTTGGCTGCCATTCCGTCACCTGCCATGGCGGCGAGATGTTAACAACCTTGCCTGGTATACAGGGAGGCCGTGGGGATTTGAGCCCGACCCTGATGCCTGTATACTTAGAGTTTGCATGTTCTCTCTCCACGTCGTCACGTGGATTTTTTCTCCGGGTCCTCCGGTTTTTCCCTCCACATTAAGAATCAACGTCACCCGTTTTAGAGTATTTGGCTGCTATAAATGTCCACAACACGAGCCACTTCGTTGGGCTATCATTGCGACAGTCAGGTCGCTTCTGAAAAAGAGCTACATGGCTCAGTGGGGTCTTACCTGGTAAAATATAATTTAGTTTTAGTTTAACCCCAGCCATCGTCATCCTTTTTACTGGTGTGTGCCGTCTCATCCGCCGGCCATCATCAACGGGAAGAATGTTTCCCATTTGCGTTTGTCCTCCGATCCGTGTGTTCCTTCTCGCGTCTTCCATTGTAATTCTAAGCATGGCCCTCTCGATGCATACATTTCATCTTTTGTCTAATTCGCTTCCTCACTGACAATGTATTAAAGCCATGTGTCATCGCAGGAAATATGCACTCGTTGAATACTTTCGCTTGAGGTACACGCTGGGACGCCGCTTCTCATTATCAAACTCAGTTTATAAAAAGCACCCCAACCAGTTTTTCGCCCTCTTAACTTCATCATTTTGATCCTAGACTCCCTTCAATAACTGACAGTGGTATATTTACTTAGCTGTCTTTTCCAGTTATTTTTCTCCAAAACATAGCTTCATTTGTCGAGCGAAATCATTTCCCAAGCAAAACTCTTGATTATTTTAACACGTAGGCTTTCGCG